GAGAGCTATGAAGCGAATTGGGGGCCTCTATCCAATGAACCATAAAAATAAATAATAACCATAAAACTGCATCTGTGCTGTAAAACCTCACAGGGCGACTGCCATAACAACCATGGTGACTTGGGACTCTATCTGGAAGGCAGAGCTCTGCACCTTGATGGGGACCAGAACATTTCTGGCCATTCTGTGGGAGGATGAGGGGTTGAGCAGGCAATGAACCCCACTATTATCCTGCTTTACCCCAAAAAAAACCCAAATCAGGGCTGGGATGCTGTGGGTGGATCAGCCATTGTATCTCTGCCCATGGGGTCTTTCATAAAAGCAGGTTTTTAAGCCTTTCTAAAAAGTTCCAGGAATCCTCTCCTCAAGCCTGAAATGACCTATTAAATGTGGTGGCAAATCCAGGGAATATCTCTGCATTTTCTTTGAGCACATCTCTGAAACAAAACATGACCCCCACACAAAGAGATTTTTTTGCTTTGATTCACCTTTCCCATCACCTTATCTCCCCTATTGCTTTTGCATGCATAAACTATTTAAAAAAGAGCATATCTGCCAAAATAATTTTCACATCAGAACTTCCTGAGTTACAATTGCCTTTTCCCAGAAAAGCAGACTGTGACAACTCACTCGAGTCAATCTCTGCTTGTAAAACCAAACTTGATTTTTGCCAACCCCTGGCTGTGGATGGTTCTTAATCAGCCACCAAGCAGGGAGCAACTCAACATTCATCTAAAATCTTCAGTGCTGAATAACGTGGAAATTTGCTCTTTTCTTTCCATTTCTGAGGCCAATCCTGTGCAAGTTGGTGGGAACCAGAAAGGCTTTCAGGGGCTTATTTAGGGTCCAGTCCTCCACAACTCTAACAAATTCCCATTGCTTCGAACTGCAGAGGAAAAGCCTGAGAGTTTTCTTAGTGCTGCTGTAGCCTGTACAAAAGGGAAATTTTAATGATTTCAGGGCCTCTACCAAGCTTAGCAGACCAGAACTTGCAAGGAGCTGTGAGATCCTAGGCAGGAGCTGACAGAGTATGAAGCTGTCATCCACAAACAGCCTATTGATGTTTTCTCCAGAGCAGCCAAATTAATACAATACCAAGCCCTTGCCCATGTTCTACGTAATTAATTCAACGCTGAGATGACATTTCATTTAATCAAGACATATCATATCTTCTCTTTCAGCTGAAAGAAACACTGAAGTTATAGTGAAAACTGGTCAATATATCAACTACCAGCAATTTTCTTCTGTATTTCTGCTGGTCTCTGAAAGCCAAAAAAGAGCTGATGCTTTTCCTTCTTGATCTCCTTACTCCTCATTTGATACTCCTATTGAAACAGCATTCAAACAGGCAAGGAGGTTCTCAGAATAGAGAAATTTTTCATTTTTGTTACATTTCTTGACAGCAGAATTGGCTACGTTTTTTCCCCACAGCTAAAAGTGTGTTTTCATGTAAATAAAAAATAGAATTTTCACAGGAGAGCTGACCATCTGCTCCTGCATCCTGACCCCGATGTGGATCAGCCCCAGATGTTTCAGGGAAGGTTTGTTCCCAATCCCTTTCTGTAACAAACCAGTTTGCACCCCCAAACAGGAGGGTTTCCCTCCTCTTTGAGGTTTAAAAGGGAATCTGCAGTTTTCCAAATTTTTTTTTTTTTTTGCATTTTACAAATAATTCCTAAATATTCAGCACTGTGCTTTGTGTAAATCAAATCACAGCTGCAAAATTTGGGAACAGAAAAAAAAGCAAAGATGGGAAAAAACCCCAAAAAAAAAACCCAAAAAAATCCCCAAAAATTTCCCACCACACACATCCAAAATATAAATATTCCTGGCCTCCTCCCACTAGTAAATGTCATTGTCACATCAAACCTGTCATCAGCTTGAGCATTTAAAGAAAACCACTGCTGGGGTTGGCCTGACAAATCTGTCCCCAGCACCAATTTACAAGTAACCCCTCTATATTAATTATTCCTAAGTATGCCACAGTGACACATTAAATTTGCATGCTGAAACCTAGTTAAAGCCTGAACAAGCCAAGACCTCTGAGAAAGCACTGCACAGAAGAGAAATGTATTGTTTTAAATAACCACCTACTGCTGAGCAGGGGCACAGAACATATTTGGAAGCAGTAAAACTGCTGGAGAGAAAAGCAAGGATGTTTTGAAAACAATGCATATGGGTCCTGCTAACACTGGAACAAATGAACAAACATACATTGAGGCAGCTGAGAGGTGGTTTCAAGAATATATTTGTATATTTTGGTGGTCCCTGGAGGGGGGAGCTCTCTGTGCCTTGGTCTCAGCAAACCTGTGGAAATGCAGGAGCAGAAACCATCCCAGCCCCCAGAGGCTGAGCAGTTGCAGAGGCTTTCCAAAGCTCAGTGAAGCTCTGGATCAAGTGAGCAAGTGCTGGCCCTGTTCTGCTTTGCACAGACCTGTGGTGGTGTTCACAGGGGTCTTGGATGAGGGAAGAGATGAGGATCTGGCCCCATGTTTCAGAAGGTTTTATTTATATATTAATATAATATATAAATATATTATATATTATATTATATTAATATATAATATATTAATATATTATCTATATTTTAACATTATATATTATATTAATTTTATATATTATATATAATATTTATTTTTATATATTGATATATATAAATTAATATATTATATTAAAACTATACTAAAATAATAGAAGAAAGGACTTAATCAGAAGGCTGGCTAAGAATAGAAAAAGAAAGAATGAATAACAGAGTTTTGTGGCTCAGAGAGAGAGTCCAAGCCAGCTCACTGTGATTGGCCATTAATTAGAAACAACCACATGAGACCAATCACAGATGTACCTGTTGCGTTCCACAGCAGCAGATAATCAATGTTTGCATTTTGTTCCTGAGGCCTCTCAGCTTCTCAGGAGGAAAAATCCTAAGGAAAGGATTTTCCATAAAGGATGTCTGCGACACAGACACCATCAATGCTAAGCAAATCACTTGCATAATTATGTGTGCTTGCACAGTGCCATCCATTGCAGCTGAGGTCACTTGCTTATCATCATTATCCCAATTTTTTCATCAATGGAGGCTTGTGTTTTTATTTGTGATTCATTCTGTAGCAGTTGTTAAATGCAGTGCCATGTTAGGTGTATTTTTAACACTTGCTTTATTGCCTCAACATGTTTCAGACAGGGTGGGAAAGGTGTTTGCCTGCCTTCACCCTTCCCATCACATGGGATATTGCTATTAATTATAACTTCTGTGTCATATTAATCACGTGATGTTATTATTTATAAAGCAGTCCTCCACATACCAGTTATAAAAGGATCAAATCTTATCATGCCCTGATGAATCAGCGTTCAGTATATTTTAGGTTCCCCATAATCAGCTGGCAAAGGCTTGCTTCTAAGCAAGATGCTGTTTATTTTTAGGTTAGTAATGAACAAACACCAGGAGTCTATAGGGGAAATAAAAAGCCACTTCTCTGGGAAACAGAGTGATTCTGGAAGCAGCAGTGAGGGCACAACACCTGCTCATTACATCACCCCATCCAGCCAAAAAATGGAATTACATACAGGTTTGGCCTCACTGCCCACTCCCCTTTGGGCATGGTGTCACCAGGATTCTTTCTCAGGGCACAAAATCAGAGATTCATAGATTGGAGGGACACAAGAAAAGGCTGACAGGGAAAGGAGAGGCTCCATGGTCTGTATTTCATGAGGTGATCTCTGAGAGGAGGTGATGGGCTGATCCACCACTGGGTAGAGCTTCACACAAGCCACAACAAATTGGGAAGAGGGTAAGGAAGAAAGAACCATAGACGCCATTTTGTCAGCCTCAAAAAACACAGTGTGAAAAGCCGAACTGTGACGAGGAGGGGACACTGAGGAGCTGCACACTTGGCTCCCAAAGCAGTGACTGTAAAATTGGTGAGGCTGCAGCTCAGTGTCCCCAAATCCCCAGGGACTGCACAGGGCACAAAGCCTTTGACCCGCAGGTCACTGCCCCAAACCCAGACAGATTTTGTGAATGATCCAGAGTGATTCCCATCTGTGTCTTTAAGTAAAATAAATAGGAAATTACACTCTTAGCTGACAACAGCCACCCTTCAGTGCTCAGCTGCAGGATTTCCAGCAGCAGCCCTGCACCTTGGAGAAGGACAGATCCTGCAGTCCAAGTGAGACAAAGTGGGGTTATCATACCCAGCTCTCTGTCAGCAGCCACAGCCATGAAATGCTTCCCTGGAACCAGCCCTGGTATCTACAGAAGTCTGAAATCCATCATTAAAATCATAATTGAAATAAATCCAGGGAAATACCCCATTGATTCAAGCTGGAGCAAGACTGGAAAGATCCTTCCTGGTAGGAATGAGATGTTTGCACACTCCCACAGCACATCAGCCTTTATCCTGCAACATCCCCAGGTCAGATCCTCCAGCACCTGCCTAAATGAATCACTGCAGTTGGAAAAGACCTTTAACATCATTAAGGCCAATCTTTAAAAAGGGAGGTAAGGTAATAGCCATGTCCCAGGAACCTGGCTCCTCCAAGAGCATCCTAAATTTAGGGCTTCTTGCAATAATCATGTCCATCAAAGCCATTCTGGAACCTCTTGCTGCTCTCAGCAGCCCATGACTCATCCCTCAGAGAAAGACACACACACAATTAGGAGCATCTGTCAGTAAAAAATTACTCTCATAGCCCTCAGCACACACACTCTGGTCCAGGGCTTTGGCAACTCTGGAGTGTTTGGGAATCACCCCCAGCAGCCTCTCCCCAGCTTGTTTATCCAGCAGGAACATTTAATAAGGAGTCTGTTAAAAAGGCCACAGTCACAGAGCACTCCTTGTCTGTCAGGCAATCAGGTTGGATTATGGTGTTGATCATTAATTATTGGGGAGGAGAGGGGGGAAGAAGAGCTGGTTTAAATTAAAAGCAGAACCAGAGCTCATTAGGTACATAATAAACATGGAATGAAGACAAAGGCACACAGCTCCTCCCTGTAACCATACCTGGCACCAAGGGATCAGGGCTCCCCTGCCAATTCACAGTGCTGCTGTCTTGGAATACTATTCCAAATTCAGTTGCTTGAGAAATTTATCCACCCCTTTTTACCATCCTTAATGTTCCCTTCAAGACCTCCTTGATTCCAGAGGTTTAGCATGGGATTAGCAGAGTTCTGGGCTTGGCATGGACTCTGGAGCCTAAGCCAAGAGGTCTCATCCCCTTTCCTCCACCCTCTCATCCAAACAAGCCTGCCACCACTCACTTGTTCCCAGCCTGCACAGGTGCAATGCAGGAAATCCCCTGGTAACAAAAACAAATCAAACTTTTTTTCCCCAAAGCCCCCCAGGAGAAAGCACTGCAGAGCACAGCAGACTTCTGGCACACCCAGGCCCTTTCAGTGACCAGTCCAGCAAGGACATTTGGCCAAAGATGAGTTCAAGCTCACCTCTGGACAACCCTTGCACAGATGGGAGCCTCTGACTCAGCCCCAGGTTCCCTGGCTGCTCTCCCCAGCCCAGCCCCTCTGTCATCCCCCTGGAGCCCTGCAGTGCTCATTTCAGGCTTCCCACCCTGTTCTCCGCACTGAGATGGGATCCTCCTGGCTAATTCCAACAACAACAGCAGCAAAATTCTTCAGCACAAGTCCCAATATCATGGTGTGTGATGCCAAATCTCACTCAGTGCATGTGCACCCCTCAGGGAGATCTCAAGGGAGATTTTTGCTGCCCAAGCCCAGGAGGAGCTGCAGCATTCCTCAGGGCAGTGCAGAGTGCCTTTCCATCATACCACCTTCTCCCAGGGCTGCAGGAAAGGAAAAAATAATTTAAAAATCAACAGGAGCAAAATCTCAGACAGGTCTTGTGTCTCTGAGCTGCCAGAAGTGAGCAGAGTTTAAAGAGAAGGATTTCTGTGACTGCCTTGCCAGACAAAGCTGAGATGCTTTTGCCAAGGTAAGACATAAGAAAGAGATCAATTTTTCTGCTCTGCTTTTACTCATGGAAGAAAAATCAGGTTGATTTTAATTATTTTTATTCATGAATGAGCTGCACTCTCTGAGTAAAGCTCATAGAAACTTATCATAAGGTTAACAGAAGCAAGCTTGTGAGTAGCTCAAGTACAACAGAGCTAACACCACTTTTTCTTATGGGCTCTAACTTGAAAAATAACCACAATTCACTGCACACCATCAGCTTGAAGGGATCACTTTCCTCCTAGACACCACTGCCTCCTGCCCATACACAAGTGTCAGCAGAGACAAATCTGAACTGAAATTTAATGAATCTGGCTAATTCATTATCTGAAAGACTCATGTGTTTCAGTTTTGTTTCATCCTGATCTTTTTTTTCCCCTTCCAAGTCGAGCACACCAGATGGCCAATACCCCTCTCATTGCTAGCTACTAATCAGCCACTTCCATATGATATTTGCCATGAAGAATTAATACAATTAGGTCAGGATGTAAAGACATCATGTTATTCATGGCAACAAGCCCAGATTTACTTTTTTTATTCCTGCCTGCAGCCCGGGTGAGGTCAGAATCCAGGTCCATTTGCACTGCAGGGAGCTGGGCTGCTCCAGGTCTCCTTGCACAGCACTTCTGCAGATGCAGCTCTGGCTTCCCTTCCCTGAGAAATGCAGTCAAATCCAGTTTCAAAAGGAATCCTTGCTAAAATATCTCCAAGTACACACCTAACAAAAAAAACCTAACCAAAAATACAGATGAGTACACACCTGACCAAAGTACACACCTAACCAAAAATACAGATGAGAAATGTTACAAGGACATAATTTTTAACATTTTCATCTGTGTTTTTCAAGACTTAGTTTCCCTTTCTTTTCAGCCACTACAATGAATGCAAGAAAGAAATGGCGGGAAAAAAAAGGCGGGGCAAAAAGGCGGGGCAAAAAAAATAATAGCGCAAAAAATGCACTCCTAGAAAGTGATGGACAGAATTCTGCTGGCCAAAGAGCTGGGAGCTCACAGAGCAGAGGAAGCAGAACTATGCCATGTCCTTACAGCCCATCATGGTGCTCCTCCCAGACAGGAACAAGTAGATCAGCTATTTGTTACAGCTTTGTTATTTTTCTTTTTAAACAATTGCTGTTCTTTCCTTCCTTTTGTTTCCCCTATCTAGGTAACTGAAATATAAATAATTTTTCCTCCAGCAGAGGTTGACTCAGTGGCAGGACCCAGATTTGCCTGTGAAGGATAGTTCCTCTCTGTTCCCTTCTCAGGGCATATTGCCAGTTCTCACCCACAACGCATTTGATTTTCAGGGTCCTCTTTCTTGTTTAAAGCTGTGAGCAAAAGTGAGATTGTCCAGTGACACATGGGGGATCAAACCTTGACTCTTCACTCTGATAAAAATACCCAACAATGACTATGGCCAAATCGGCGGCTTTTTTGCCATTCCATAAACTCCCTGCCCCTAACCCAAACTCAAGCCCGCATGGCCAGGACAGCTGGAGAGACCCCAGCAGGGCTGCCATGCCTGTCCAGAGCTCATCACTGCAGGGATTTGCTGTCTCACCCTGCAGCATCCCCCAGGCAAACCCTCCCCAGCATACCAGGATGGCTCTGCTCCTTTGCTCCTTGCAGTTCCAGACATCTGTGTTTACTCCACGACCCATAACAGAGTTGTTTTCCCTGGAAGAGCTCCATCACTGCCTTTCTCCTGCTGCCTACCATGTGTCCATTTCTTTATATATATACAATTATTTTTTTTCCCCAAAGAAAATCTGGATGCTGCTACTTTCAGCACCCTCCCCATGTGCTGGAGGCAATTCATGCTTTGGGACACATGGCAAAGACTGCAGAAATATTTCCTGTTGGTCCTGGGAGAGGCTTCCCTAGCACAAACACATTGCAGTGCTTCAAAGAGCCCATTCCCCACAGCACATGCAGCACTCAGAGCTCACTTTTGACAAACTACACAAACCAAAAGCCCTGTGGAGACCCAGAAAGCAGAACAAGGTCACCATATCCTCTGCAACATGATTTCTAAGGCAAAATAGTCTCCTTGTTGCCACATCCATGCTGCTACGGAAGGGGACTATGATCTTCCTGATTTCTCAGGGAGCACAGTAGCCAAAATTCACTGGGCATGGACCTAAATAAAGCCCACACCTGTATCTGAACAGGCAGCTCAGTCACAGCCTCCATAGCTGGCTGCCAAGAAGTTTAGGGAAGGCATGGACCCTCCAAGGACTGCCAGCCTTCACTCCTGCCCCAAATACCCTCATTTTTCTCCCATATGACAGCAGGATGACAGAGTTGTCATCTCATCACCTCGCTGTAGCAGGACACCAAGGGGCACTAATTCACTGAGCAGGGCCAACCTCCTGAACCAACGTCCTTCATTTTCACATAAATCCTTCCTTGTGCTCTCCCACTTCACTTCCTGACCCTGAGGGACACAAAGGTTGGTTTAAAGTGTTCATTATTAATATAATTATTGTACAGCAGGGGAGAAGAGAAGACTGAGGCAGCAGTGGGGCTGAGTGGAACATCCCAGCTGGGTGGATGGGAGGTGGCAAGGGGCATTAGGGGTCTGCAGGGAGATTGCAGAAGGGGATCCCAATGAGTTTTTCCAACGTGGAAGCAGCAGCTTTTTCCCTTGCTAAGGGATGAGATTCCTTCTGGCCTGCACTGAGATTCCCCAATGCCCTGGGTGAACTGGGAGCTGCTTGGCTGGGACTGGAGGGGCCAAGCCCCAGAGCAGCAGCAGGTGTGTGCACCACTCACCCCCCTGAACCAGGAGAGGGGCTTTGAAGGCTGACAGCCTCAGGTGTGAGCCTGTGACTGAGACATTCCTGCAGAGCAGCAGCAAAAGATTTGTTACCTGGAGAGGGCTGACGCTGCTTGACGAGTGATATCTTCATCCAGCTGTCCAAAAGCTGCCTGCAGGCAGCTTCTGCTTCATCAGGGCCAAGAGCCTGAATGTGAGACTTTGCAAGGTCCTTAAGACATCTGTGAAAGAGGGAGAGGACAGAGGGAAAAAAAAAATTATCTGGGGAAAGGGTGCCTCTTGTGTTTCCATGTCAGCTTGCAGAGCTCCTGCTCAGCGTGGGACCTGCAGGAACGTGTTCCCCTACTCAGGAACTGTCACTGATCTGGCAGCCAGCCCTCAAAAGGGGGATGGCCAAGCAGCCACAGCTCTGGAAAACAGAGACACTGGGACCTATGGAGTCATCAGCATTTTTCTGATTTCCAGAACTCTTTTAGTTCAGGAATTCCTCACTGGTGGAGGAAAGAAAATTCCAGGTTAACAACAAGCCCGTTTTTCTGAGGAACCTATCCAAAGCAAGTCACAAGTACCCCACGTGCTTCTAGGTGAAAATCAGAGGGAGGATTTTGGAAGAGAATATTTGGGTGCATTTTGGCAAGGAGCATCAGGAAGGAAAGCCCATTGTGTCGGAGAGAAGGACACAGTGGGTGCCATCCCACCCACACTGCTAGAAGGCCTTGCAAGCACAGCGAAATGAGCACACTGCTCTGTGCCCTGCTCCCCTTATCTGTAAATCCAGGCTGGTTCATTACCACCACATTTTTAGACTCAACATGTGAGGTTTAATTTATTAGTGACCATAAAAGTTCTTCCATTCCAGGGTGGGAGCTCTCTGCAGCACAGATCTCACTGCTGCCAGAGCAGTGCCTGTCACTCCTTGTGCTCACCAGACCACAGCGCTTCAGGCTAGTACCAAATCAGGATATTTCACTTTTCCTTCCTCTCACATGGCTTTTAGGCCTCATAAAACCCACCTCAGAGAAGCCTCTCTCCTCTCCATGCAACCACAGCAACAAGACTTGGCACTGAGCAGATCCAGCCCAAATTGTGGCACCTCTGCTGCAGGCGGGAACAAGAGCAGTGCCCAGTGCTGAGGGCCTCCTGCTCATCCCAGGGGCTGCTGGAGATCACTGGGAATGGATGGAAGCTGCTGATAATTCACAGTGCTTGGCCATAAATGGGAACTGCTTTCTGTTCTGCTCCTCACCCAGCCTGGATCCCATCCCAGCCCAAAAGGACACCAAAAGGAGCCTGGCCAGAGACAAGGTGAGAGACATGAGACAGGCACTCCCTGCCTGCTCTGCTGAGGTGGAGCTGTTCAGGAATACTTTCAGGTTTGGCTAATCCCCTTTCAGAAATAACATCTCAAGCTCTGTTTCTGAAGGTCCTCGAGGCAAGACAGCTCCAGCCCTCAACCTCTGGCTACAGAGTGAAACTTAACCACGCTCAATTTACCTCCCTGCCCGAGGGCATGTCAGCCTTGGACTGGCTCCTGGAGTTTCAGGTTTGTGGCTCAGCAGCACAAAGGACAGGAAAATGGATGATCTTGCATCTTGGCTGGAAGACCCGAGGTCATAGGGGTTTTCCCACTCTGCATCAGGAAGAGGATTGGAGATGGTGTTACGGGAAAGGGTAATTCCATTTGTGTGCAGCACCAGAGATGCTGGGAATTTGCTTTCCAGTACATCCCACCAGTCGTTGTCACCACATGGGGAAATACAAGGTAAAGATGCATGAGCATCACATGGAGATGAAAGCAATCAGATGCAGCCTTGTGCTCTTCAACTGGATACCAGTTACAGGTCTTCTACTCCTGAACACTCCCAATCCTCCCCTAGCAAACACATTTCCACTTGATGCAGTGCCCTGAAAGCCATGTCTGGAGGCTCAAGCAACCCAGGATTTGCACAACTCACCCCCAGCCAGGCTCACCACAGGGGTGAAAAGGCTCCACATATGGCTCTCATTGCTCCTCCTTTTATCCTGGTCATGCCCAGCAGGCAGCAGGATGGAG